ACTTGTCAACAGAAGGCAGTCACTAGGCAAGCCACAGTCCTAATCTTATTTCATGCATCCTTGCCCTGAGGCAGAACATTTCATTCATAATTTAGAGGAATTTAATAGAGATTAAAACTTTGCAGGTATCTTAGAAATTTGAAAAGATGTCAAAGGATGAATTTAGCAACCTGTTGGGTGGGTGTTGGAAATGCTTTGTAGTATTAGTCAGTTTTTGGTTATCGGTTGTAGAGCTTTTCCAGGGCTTCACAGGATTGAGTGCTAGCCGAGATTCTTGTTGTCTGAGACAGCTGGTAGTCAACTTTGCCTCCATACAGATGTTAAAACACAAATTTTGGTGAGACTATGAAAAATAGACATGTAAATAGATATCTAGAGCAGTGGTTGGGGGTGTGCAGTTTTGCTCCCCTTAAAGGACATTAGCCATGTCTAGACACCTTTTGATTGTCACAACTGTGGTGGGTAAAGACAGGGATGCTGCTAAACATCTTATAATGCACAAAAATGTCAATAGCGATGCTATTGAGAAACCTTGATTTGATAGACAGATATTAATACATATAAAGCATGTGTGTGTATATAAACCTCAGTTTGGTGGAATTTTTGCCAGAGTAAAAATATTTAAGGAAACAGTTCATTTCGTTTCCTAGACCTATTAGCATATATACAATATGGTGGTTTTAGCCATGTCATAAACCCTGTTAAAGCCACAGGAGCCAGGCCAGGAAGTTCACTCACCTCTTCCTCCAGGCTGTTCCTTTGGAAGTGGAGCTGTGCTAGTTAGAGGCACGCCTCAGACAGACACTTAGGGCACCACCCATTGAGAGAGCCTCAGGATAAATGAACATCCTTGATGCAGTCTCTTTTCTGTGACATTTGCCCTGTGCCCCTCAGTAGTGAAGTACTCCTAGCATTGTACAAAAGGGTTAGTCCTTAATTGACCTCTCCCCTCTCTGGCTAACCTAATCATCCTTAATATTTATGTGGACTGAAAATTCGAAAGACAAAAGATATAAGAAGTGGCATGGATGTGGATTTGTACCTAATGACAACTTTTGGTCATCTTTTGTTTCTGTAACTGTGAATATTTCCCTGAATTTTTAAGGTCCATTTCTAATGATAAAGTTAAGTAATCTTTTTAATACTTGGTTACAGTATGAAAATAAAATTAGCTTTATTTGACTGGTAATCTCAGAAGAAACAACATGGTGTAGTGATGTAGTTAATATAACTTGAAGATTTTAAAATTGTTTTGAGGCAGACTTCTAGTCAAGATGGCGGTATAGTCAGACATGGCTCACCTCTTCACACAACTATATTAAAATTACATCTAAAATATAGAACGATCATCACTCAAAACTGTCAGAAATCAAGCTGAATGGAAGTCTGACAACTACAGAATTAAAGATGCCACATTCACAGAGACTGATAGGAGGGCCGTAGATGTGGAATGGTCTGGTCCCACACCCGTGTGTGGTGGATAAAAATTCGAGAGGGATATCTCAGGAGTGAGGAGTCGCAGCCCCACACCCGGCCCCCGAGCCTAGGGTTCCAGTGCCAAGAAGATAAGTCCCCACAACTTCTAGCTGCAAAAAGTAGCGGGATTGAGTCGGTGGAGGAAACTGCGGAAACCCCAAGTAGTTTGTTTTAAAGAACACACACATGAACTCATCTACTCGGACTCACTCCCTCTGAGCTCCAGCACTGGGGTAGCAGCTTGAAAGGCACCAGTGGTACACAGGGACAAACTGAAGTGTTGCCATCAAGGTGAGCAGAGGCCATTGTCCCTTTTCTAAACCCTCCACCCACAGAGCTGGCAAGTTGGTGCCATATCTGACACTCCATCAACCTGGCTAACACTGTTTGACCCATCTTGGCGCTCCCCAGAGACTTTGCCCTACCCACCTATGGGCCTACCCAAGCTGCTTTTCTATATGAATGGCTGGTGTTGGCTCATGCTTCAAAACTTCCTAAATCCTCTCAAACAAGCAACAGCTGGCCTCCGTGAACCCCAGGCCTGGCATTAGCAGCAGCCAGCCTGGATTCACAGCTTGACTTCACCTCTGGAACCTCCAAGCCCAGCACAAATAGCAGCCTTCTCAGATTTCTTCATAGCTCAGGATGGGTGGCCCTGGGCCAAATACAGGTAAGGGCTGGCCTTGGCCTGCACCACCCTGGAAACCCAAGGGCTAGCACACCCAGTGGACAGCTACAGACCACGTCAGAGCACCACCCCCCTGCTCCTGCAGAGCTGACCCTTCACGGAGGTTTGAGGTTGGTGGTCAGTGGTCACAGCCAATCCTTGCAGCTGACTGGCATGGGGCAAATCCCTCCTGTTGATCCGCTAACAACAACCAAGGCTCTCCTACAAGAGGAGGGTGTACTTAGCCCACATGAAGGGTGCACCTAGAGTACCCAGCATGGGTGATGGGGAGGCTGGGAAGGCTGTGCTACTGGACCCTACAGGACACCCACTATGTTAGGCCACGCTACCAAGTTACAGAGTCAAAGCAGCTCTACCTAATTAGAAACATACACAGGGAGGCTGCCAGAATGAGGAGACAAAGAAACTGGCCCAAATGAAAGAACAAATCAAAACTCCAGAAAATGAGCTAAACAAAGTGGAGATACACAATCTATCAGATGTAGAGTTCAAAACACGGCTTATAAGGATGCTCAAGGAACTTAGTGAAGACCTCAGCAGCCTAAAAAAGACCCAGTCTGAAACGAAGGATACTCGAACTGAAATAAAGAGCAATTTACAGGGAAACAACAGTAGAGTGGATGAAGCTGAGAATCAAATCAATGGTTCTCATAAGGAAGCAAAAAACAACCACACAGAGCAAGAAGAAAAAAGAATCTAAAAAACAAAACAAAACACCAAAACGAGGGTAGTGTAAGCAGCCTCTTGGGCCAACTGAAGAGGACCGACATTTGCATCATAGAAATGTCAGAAAAAGAGGAGAAAGAGCAAGAAATTGGAAGTCTGTTTGAAAAAGTAATGAAAGAAAACTTCATTAATTTGGTGAAGGAAATAGACATGCAAGTCCAGGAAGCAGAGTCCCAAACAAGATGGATGCAAAGAGGCCCACTTTAAGACACATCATACTTAAAATGTCAAAGGTTAAAGATAAAGAGAAGATCGTGAAAGCAGCAAGAGAAGTTAGCTCCCTACAAAGGAGTTCCCATAAGACTCTCAGCTGATTTCTCAAAATAAACTTTGGAGGCTAGAAGGGATTGGGAGGAAATATTCATAGTTATGAAAAGCAGGGACCCCACAGTCAAAATTGCTCTACCCAGCAAAGCTATTATTTAGAATCAAAGGGCAGATAAAGAGCTTCCTAGACAAGAAAAAACTAAAGGAGTTCATCACCAAACCATTATTGTATGAAATGTTAAAGGGATTTATTTAAGAAAAACAAGACCAAAACTATGAACAATAAAATGGCAACCCCCCCCCCAACATATCTATCAACAATTGAATCTAAAAAAGCAAACTAAGCAAACAACAAGAACAGAGACAGAATCGTGGATACAGAGAGTGTTTTGATGGTTGCCACATGGAAAGGGGTGTGGGGGAACGGAGGAAGAGGTGAGGGGATTAAGAACTACAGATAGGTAGTTACCGAATAGCCATGGGGATGGAAAGCACGGTAGGGGAAATGGCGTAGCCAGGGAACTTAGACGCGAGAGCCATGGACATGAGCAGTGGTAGGGGTCTGCCTGAAGGAGAGGCAGGGTGCAGAGGGGGCACAGGGGGAAAGTCAAGACAACTATAAGAGCACAATCAATAAAATATAATGAAAATTAAAAAAAAAATTGTTTTGAAAACAAGCTTTTTAAGCTCAGATGTTTTACTGTCTTTCTAATTTGCGATATTGTATAGGAGCAAGGTAACTTCTATCTAAAAGGGTGGTAATGAACTTCTGCTTCATACTTGTACCATTTAAGATGGATCTGGCTTGACATAACCCAAAATAAACTCAAAATGTCCACCGTCAACAGAACTCAAATGACTTAAACGAGCTAGAGGTGTGTTCCTCTCTTGGGTGAAAGCCGCCCATGGGTAGGCAGTGCAGGGCTGGTATAACTGACCCACAGACATCCACGTCAAGCCTCCCTCGATGTTCCGCCAGCCTTGGTGCGAGGTCTTTTCATCTAAGATGGGTGCTTGAGCTGATGATGTTCATTGATAAACTCTGACCTGGCCATGTCGCCGCCAGCACAGATGCTTGGGCATATAAATTATGTAGTAAAGGCAAGCTAGCTACTACTACAGCCCTGAGGTAGGCACCTCGTTGATGCATCGCGGCACCTCGTTGATGCATTGCACCACCTCTATCCAGCCCAGGTATTACCTGCCAGTTAGTAATGTTCACGTAGCTTGCCTGATGTGGGTCACATGCAGTTCAGTACCAGGTAATCTGATGAAAAGACCTAAGCTCATTTCTCTTGCTCTGAACCACATCCCTCGGAGCATGGACTCTGCTGGGTCAGGTTTCCTGTTTTGCAGAAAAACATATCCACTTAGTGTTTGATCTTTGATCTTTTAGAGTTTTCTCTTAACATCGTTACCTACACGTTCCAGCCAGCAAGAAGGGAGGGGGAAGGGAAGAAGATCACCCTCTCTTTCAAGGATACTGCTCAGAAGTCACACGACACTTCCACTTACATCTCTTTCGCCAGCACTGAGTCACATGGTCGCTAGACAAGGGACTCAGCAAAAAAAAAAAAAACTGGAGTTCTTGTTACTAAAGAATGAGAGACAGCTGGTAGACTTTGAAACAGTTTTCAAAATACTAACTTATGAAAATACTAACAATGACTGTCTCACCTCATCAAGGCTCTCAATATCAAAATAAGGTATTCTATGGCAATTACTGGTTAGACGGTGGTTTTCCTTTCTTTCTTTTTTCTTTTTTTAAGTATCCATGGTTTTATTTCTCCCACCCCCTCATTTCCAAAAGCAAAACTAATCAGTTTATCTTTTCTTCTTGTAGGACTTTACAGGACATTTCTGAAGACGTGAAATCTTCGATAGACTGACATGGCTTCTGCTGCAGTGATTTCTCTAGGGAATTCATCCTTGACTGTGCGTTCGGCTCAGCTGTGGCCTTCTGTCCATTCAGTTGTGCCTAGCAAGCAGAGCCCAGGAAAAGAAGCAGAAGCCTCCTGGCCTTCCATACAGAATGCGTGGACAAGAGTGAACTTGCTGTGGGCTGCTTTGCATTTTAAAGCACAGCTTCAGAACTCCAAAATGTGGTTTGCTCACCTCACTGTTGCTGAGATGGCTTGAAAAATCTCAGTTTGTACACTGGTACCATGGCTTGAAATTTTCCTCTTTTGCTTATCTATGTTCTTATTATAATATGTATTTATCAAGTTATTTTTAAGAGCCCTTAAACTTTTCACCTGCTGTTAAAAGGGCAGACAATGTCATTTTTCTCCTGCTTTAAGAAATCTTCATATGCTTTTCAATGACAGTCACTTTTCAATGAAAAGGTCCTTCACTTTTGAGTACGTAGTTGCTTGAGCAGGACAAATGAGTCTTCTTCCCTTCTCCCACAGCGCATGGTCCTCTCTAAGAAAGAACTAATCTTAAGTGTAAGGGCAGAGCGGCTTATTTCAAGTTCAGTTAGTTGTATGTCGCAGCCACAGGAGAGACAGACAGGCTAAAAATCTTTCTCCACTTTCTTTTTCCTCATCCCCCATTACGCTGTTGCCAAAATTCTAAAACTTGGCAGATCACATGGAAGTGAAATACTTATAAGCTGCTATTAATGGTAATAATATGGTAGAATTTAAGTTGTGATTTTTTTTTTCTTTTGAAATGTGTCACGTGAAAAATCTCAGGTGCAGCAGGACTCTGATTTGTTAAATGTACCCCAGTTTCATTATTTGGAATTCTGCCACTGAGTTATTTATAACCTAGAATTTTGTATTTATGTACCATTTTTCCATCGTTAAGCACAGTGCCTTGCACATAAGACTCTCTAGGTGAATGCTTGTTGAATTAAATTGTGACTTTTTAAATATGCCAGATAGTACAATAACCAGCATAGTGCTTTACATTTTACAGAGTCTCTTTGAGTATAATTATTTCATAAAAATATCATATAACCTTTCATATAGCTTTATCTTGTTTTATAACAGTTTCACACAGATGGGGAAGCTGAGGTTCAGGAGAGTAACCAACTCAAAGTCATAAAGTTTAATAAGATTTGACCTCATATCTTCTGATTTCATAAGCTTTCAAACTCTGCTATATGGTAGAGTTTCTTCTAATATCTTACAGTGTTTCTAGTGGAATGAGATAGAATAGGTGTCCTTGGATGTGTCCTATAGTTAATGACAGAGCTGGGACTAGAACCGGACTCTCAGCTTTGTGCCCTTTCATTGTACAAAAGCAATCATCAGGCTCTTTCTCTGTCCCCACGGGAATATGGAGGAGAAATGGTTCTTAAGTATCAGAGATGACCTTTCTGGAAAACAAAAGTAGAAATCATTTTTTCTAAAACACCTTCTCACTAAGAAGCATTGTTAGCGATAATCAGCTTAAACTTACTCTGATATTACTTAAGAAAAACTCCATCTGGAAGAGAGTCTATAATGAAGTCTTTGTTTGTACAGTAGACTACCTGCATGTCTCTTACTTTCACTATGAATCCTTTAACGATTATAATTTGATATAACACCAGGTGTTACATTTGGCCACTAAATAACTCACTATTTTCTTTAGTCTGTTGTTTAATCATTCATTCAGTAAAACCTTTGCTGAGAGTTTGTCAAACTCTAGGTTGCATGCCAGACACTGTGCAGGGTGCTTGCTGGAGGGGACAGCTAATGAGAATGCCTTCCCTCGCATTAAATCTTAGCCAAATCATACGTATTGCTAGAATGAAATTTTGCATTAAAGGTGTTAAAAAGGAAATCAGGTTTGCTTTTGTTAATTGTGTAAAGATAAGTTTATAGCTATAATTAACACATACTCATAAGAGGTACATATTATATACAATGAGTTAGGCTGCATATGTAGATTATGTTCTTCCAAAGTTCTTTGAGCCGTACAAAGTGATGTTGCAAAATCTCAGCTTGAGCTAATGTATGGCTGTCGCTTGTCCTAATTATTTTTATGAATACGAGGCTCTCAGTGCAGGGATCTCTGTTCTCTGAGAGAATAGATTGTGCCAGAATGAGCAGCGATGTCACATCACCCTGAACATCAGGAACAGAGGTGCCCCACAGTGCTGCGCAGGAGCCGTGAAGTGCCCCAGCTCTCCAGCAACTGCAAGGACTGGGAGCCCCCAGAAACAGAAACATGTCCCCTCGGTTATAGTGAGACTTTGCAGAATTTCCACAGGGCATGGAGATCAAGTGGTATGAAAAGGTAGGACTCTCAAGCTCAAGCCTCAAAGAAGACCAGCCCTCAGAGTGTCAGACTTTGACCCAGAAAGAAGGATAAAAGGCATTGATGAAGTAGATGTAGCTTCAGTAAAAACTGAGTACTGAAATCCTATCACAGTGTGTTGCATTTTACTGCTTTATTAAAGATTAGTTCACATTTCCTATTCAGTTGTGAACTGAATGGAGGAGGAGATAAAAGCTCTCCACACAAATGTGGTCCTCTCTTGAAGAGAACAACGCTTGTGATACTCAGCATAAACTCCGTATCATGTAAGTCCTGCTTCAGTTCCAAAATTCTTATCACACTCTTTCTGGAAATGATCTCCATCAGGGAGCTGCCTTAGATACCAGTCTTATTTATGTTTAAATTTGCAAGGAGTCCTACACCCTCTTCCATTAGAGGTGGTTAGCTGGCGGGGTTCCCTTGCTTTCTGAGACAGGTGTAGATCGACTCTGAACAGTGGGAGGGTACCCAAGAATTGTTATGGAGTTCCTGTGTTTAAACAAACTCTGTAGCCCTTGGAAATAGCAGCTGTTTACCAGTTAAAACGGGCTGCTCAAGGGCTTGCAGATAAGGTCCTCTGGCTGACCTTGGTCTTAATGGGAACCTATTGTGAAGCCATCCTGACCCTTCAGGGCTTCCTAGTACTGCTGTTCTCCCTTTCCTCGTACTTAGTGCTTCAGGATGTGTCACTGCTGGGCAAGAAACACTCAAATTCAGGTCATGCTTGTTAGATTAGAGCAAAGTAATTTTAGGTGAGCTATCGCAAGCTTTCAACCTCAGGTTTATAGCAAATACCCCTTCCCATACTCTGGTCCTGACCTCGAGTCTCCTCTAAGGGTCTTGCAAGACCTACAATAGAAATAGTCTCTGACAGCAAACTTCCAAATGCTAGTTAGTTCCAGCTAAGAACAAGTACTTCTGTTTTTATTAATTTTTTGCCTTTGCATGTTTCCCATCAAAATATATTCATTTTATTGAGTACCTGCAAAAAAAAAAAAAAAAAAAAAAAAAAAGAGGCATACTACCTGAAACCATAGCAGCTATTTTTTGATGGACTTGATTAACGATTCTCTTTTTTAAAAAGTGTCAGTCTACTAGCATCATGGACATTCTGTGCTAGAATGGGCCTTATATAATTAATGTGATTTTGTCATTTTCTAGAGAAGAAAACAAATCCATAGGTTCAACTGACTTTTCTAACACACAGAGCCAGTTAGTAACAATTCACAGTAGGAAAAAGGCCCTTTTTTCTCTCAGTTCATTGTCCTACTTCTCTTCCCTTTTCCTTATAATGGAGTAGGTTTTGGAAAAATGTGTTCCTTATAGCAGTAGCCCAAAGGGATGTTATTAGATGGTATAAGAAAATAAAAAGTGTATGGGTGTGGGGAGGAACTCCATGGTTAATTAAAATGGAGAAATGCTTGGTTTGTTTTCCTTCTGTAGGACTTCTAAAAGTTTTTAATGTGCAATTATATATTGTGAATTTATGAGAGGGGACAAAGACTGTGCTTGCTTATTTGAATAAGAGGGGACAAAGACTGTGTTTACTTAGACTTATTTGACCTTAAACTGCACCCCCATCCTCTTGTCTCAGAGCGTCTCAAAGTACTAGTGGTCTTTGGGAAAGATGGCTCTACAGTAAGTTTACAGCTCTTGTAGAACAAGACATCCTTAATGGGAAGTCTGAATGGTAAATCTGTTTCCATAATAACCCTGTGATCGTAATAAACCTCAAAGTATAGTGAGGTACTACAAAGCAAACATATTTGCCCTTCAGAGCTATACATAAAGTATAGAGAGTCTTTCCACCTATGGTGTGTGAAATCAGTATTTGTGTTTAGTTTTACAAGGTTTTCAAGGATCAATTAATGTGCATATACAGTGGTGGTATATTGATATTACATTTTAATAATGCTTTTGTTTGGTACTTTATAGTTTTCAGACTGCTTTCATAACAACCCTGTGAGATAAGCAGGGGTTAAGTATTATCAGATGAAGCACTGGAGGCTCAAAGGTTTTTGTGATTTTTCCCTTAAGTTTATACCACAAAATAATGGAGCCAGAATTCAGTTTCAGAATTTCTGACTCCAAGTCCAGAGTTACTCACACCTGGTTTCTTATTTTCTTTCTAGCTTTATATTTTACAATGAAAGGTGTGGAAGCAATTCTTAAAATAATACATTTTGGCTTATTATCAAACACTGTTTCTTTACTGCAGTAACTCAGAAACTGTAACCCCTTTTATAGCTATCCCAAAGAAAACTCTTTTGTTCCTTGCACTGCCATTTATTTAGGTGACTGGAGTGGATTTCAAATACCATTTGATTTTGAAACCAAGATTGGATAATATAATGTGATTGCTTATGTAATCTTGGAAAATGTATCATCTCTGCATTTTCAGGCAAAGTAGAGATGGTTTGAAAGTAAAAAAAAGAGTATTCAAATACAACAATAGATCTTTATTCTCTCACAAATGCTATTTCTTAGCTTTAACTTGCTTTGACAACCTACTGATGTAACTTCTTTGTAAATGTAAAATATTTATATTTTGAAATAAAATTGGTGTTGAATGAATCAGATAGTAAACTTAGTCTTATTTCTGTTGAGAAAGTTGATCTTTAGTGAAATCAGACTTTCATAAATACATCCATCTGTCTCTTAGGTCTTAAATCTTTTCCTTTGGCACCAGTGCTTACACTGAATTTTTATGAAATATGTGCAACTTACATAAAGGAAAATATCTAAGGAGTGGATACTGGACACCTTAGGCGAAAGAAGAGGTCCAAGGCTGAGGTTGGAGCCCTTGGTGCAGAGGATAAGGTAGCTTTAATTTAAGGTGGGGAGATAAGGAAATGGTGAGGTGGGTGGCTGGGGAGGAAGACATTAGAGGGGGAAAAAAAGGTTGTATAAAGGAACAGCACGTTTTGAATGAACAATTCAAGCCTAAGTTATGGCTGTATTCAACACCAGAGATACCAGTGCAGCACAGGCAGGTGATGCTGAAACCCACAGTGGAAGTACTGTGAAACATTTCAATGATGCTTGGGAAAGCGCTTGCTGACACCTCAAGTCAGTGGTCTTCAGCTCATCAACTGGACATTATGGATGGGAAAATGATCCTGGCCAAGATACAAGGGTGGAATAGCCAGCCACACAGTCTTTTTCTGCTCTGATGGTCTCAGCAGCAGACAAACTAGTTCACAAGGTGTTTCTTCATGCTTCTCAGTCTATGGCTTAAGCCTAGAGTCCTTCAGAGGGAATGTGCTTCTGACAAGCTCCTTTTCACTTTGCTTCTGGAATCCTTAAGATAAGAAGGTTCAGCTCTCCTACCCCAATCACAAAGGGACTCTGCTTCTCAGCCTTACCCCTCAGTGGTTTTAGTCCTAAATCAACACTAACGATCTTTTCAGTCAGTGGACAGCTGTTAAGAAACTGTTCTGTGCTAGACCCTAGGGGAAAATTTTTGAAAATACTCAACGGTAGGTGAAGCTTTTCCATTTGCTCTATTTTATTTCCTTTTCAAGAGTAATTCTGAACATAGCCTGAAAGATACCCAACCACTGCCTTCTCGCCAAGCACCTAGATACAACTTAATTCCATAATCAAATGCTTAACTTTCAATTCAGCTCCAAGTATTTTTGAGAAAGTCGAAATAGGAGTGTCATCGAGGGGAAATGAACCTCGCGAGCACTATTCCCATCGGAATTCCCGGCTCAAGAGTAACAGCCCCTCTTTACAGTCTTGACTCTAGTTCTGCTCTGTTAGTTTCAATTCAGCGCAGCCTCTAGAAATTGTCACTGAATCGGAGTTAGGATGAGTCATTCTATACGGAGGACAGGAAGCTTTGCTGGGGGCGGTTGTCCTTGTCGTGGTAAGAGGCCACGTGGCCGTGGGAGGCCCTCAAGTGTCTTGTTTATTCCAGTAGGTTGAGACGTGCGTGGAACCCACCGAAGAGTGGTCTCAAAAGAGGCGGGGCGGGGCCAGTAGGCGGGGCAGTGCGGGGGCGGGTCCGAGGTAGAGGCGGGGCTGGAGAGCCGACCCTAGACGAAAGGGCTTGGGGGCGAAGCAGGGGCGGGGCTCGGCGTCGGCGGCAGAGCAGTCTGGGGGCGGGGCCGCTCCAGGGGCGGGCCCGGTTGGAGGCGGGGCCTCGGGCGGCGCGGGTGCCCTGCCGCCGCCGCGGGAGGGCTGGCTGGCAGGCGGTGGGCCCGCAGTAGCGCGGCGTCCGGGCTGCGCGACGGGCGGATAGCCATGGCTGCCTCTCCGGGCCCCGCCGGCGTTGGCGGCGCCCGGGCAGTGCAAGGCTCCGGCCTGTCCGGCTTCACCTTCGACTCAGGACTTGAGATCAAAACTCGCTCGGTGGAGCAGACGTTGCTCCCGCTGGTTTCTCAGGTAAAGTGGCTCCCAGCGCGGCCCCTCGTCTCTGGCCGCGGCCGGTGATGGCGGCGGTGCTTGCACTGCGGGGCCGGGCCGGAGGCAGCCGTTGCCCCACATTCAGCACCCTCTTTACAGTGTGGGTGTTGGACCGCCTGTCTGGGCTTGGGGACCCACCTCGGCGGAGGCTGCGGGAGTCGGGACCCTCGAAAATCCGGAGGGGAGGCCCAGTGGGCTGAGCGGCAGGGGAGGTTGAGGGGCGCGGATTCCACTGCGACCTGTGTGCCTGGCCGGCAGGTGCGCGGCCGGGCCTGTCCCACAGGACAGGCTTCGGGGCTGTGGCTCGGGAGATCTTGGCTCAGCGAGGCCCCGTCGGAGGGTGGGCGGCCGAGCCCAGCTTCCCCAAAGCAGAGAGGACCCCTGCGGGGGCCCCGCTGGCCCATAAGGGATCCTGCTCGTCGCCACTCTTGAACCCCCCGTCGGCTTACGTTTGCTTCCCCAGTCCAAACCCAGACTGGTGGCCACTCCGGCTGGGACATTCCTACCCGCCTCCAAGTCCAGCGTGCTCTCCCCGAGGCCTTTGTCCCTTTTCCCTGCGTGCGTGCGTGCCTGTGTGTGTGTATGTGTGTGTGTCGGCTCGCCCGGCTCCCATTCACCCCGGGCCACCCTGCCCCTTCCCCCCCTAACCTGCCTGCTCCCCCCAGTCGGCTTTTGTCCAGCCTCAGAAAAGTGAAGGGCTGTCTGATCGCTAATCCGGATACACATCTCTTTGGTTAATCCCATCTGGGATGTATGCTTTATTGCATTTGTTGGTCCTAACAGAAGTCTGGAGTCAGCTCATTGACGCGCTTAGTTTGAGAGAAGTTTTTGTTACCGCGAGCCGAGTTAACGCAGCCCGAGGGCTCGAATTCCTCACCTACCTCTGCGGTCGTGTGCCAAGTACGGCAGGGAGTGAAGAATTCTGTGCCTTTGGGAGCGCGTTGGCGTTGTGTGACTCACAAGTAGATTGCAACGTCTTGGTGACTCACACTAGCATTGCCAAAATTTTAGAGGGGGAAGGAATCTTAAAGATTATCTGACTCTAAATTTAAAAAAGAAAAATCTTTCTTAAAGCATCCTCGACACCTGGTCGCCAGTCCCTTGTTTAAATATATCCAGTGATGGGGAGCCTGGAGCTAGTCCATAAATTTTTAATACTTGAAAACGCCTGTCACATATGTCCCTGTTAAGATCCCTGTTAGGCTGATTAAATGAACAGCTCCATTATCTTCAACTGTGTTCATTTTAGCCTGGCTAACCGAACAGTGAGGAGTACACCTGACAAGCCCCCTCTCCCACCCCTTCCGTGTCTGATAGAAGCACTGACGGTGGAAAGGATTGGTAGGGTCAGTTAGGATGTCTGCATGCACAGCCTCCCCGACACCCCAAAAGAATGCCACCACCACCGTGACCACCAATACAGCCACAGCGCAAAAGGAGAAATACTGGAGTAGTTTTAAGAGACAGAGATAAAAGAGTGGTGGAGTTCCAGTTGACAGTATTTTATTCACTTATTTAACCGTGACTGTACACTAGGCCATGTTCTAAGCACCTTGTAAAAATTAACTCATTTAATTCTCATAACAATGCTGTGAGGTTGATTCTCCTTACATGGATGAGGAAGCTGAGAAATAGTGAGGTTATGTAACTTTTCATGGGACTGAACTACAAATGTCAAACTGGGATTTGAACCCAGGCAGCCTGGCTCCAGAGTCTGTGCTCTAAGCTGCCCCATATGCTGTGTCCTTTCTAGAAATTAGAAGCAGTGATGAGGTCAGCTAGTAGTAGGTACAGAGAAGAGAGTCTCCATGGGAAAAACAAGCTGGAAGGTTGCTGTAATCTGAAGAAGTGGTAACTTTTCACAGTATCACTGCTCACAATGTATCAGTCCTATAGCTCTGCATTGTGTAATTCTGGGGTAAAAGAGGGTGGCGAAAGTAGGAGAGTGGAGGAGGAATGCAGAAGTCACTGCTGCAAGTTAACTAGAGGTCAGTGCTAAAAGGGGGAAATGCCACTTCTTTTCCTTCCCTATGAAAGACTCCTTCAAGCTCATAGTTAAGGTTCTGCATCCCACGTCAGTATCGTTAGCCTGACACTGTAACTGATGATCCTGATGATAGACAGTACTCAACAAGAAAGAGTTAAATTATGCTTAAAATTTTTTAAAAAATGTATAAAGCACGGCCGGAATACTGTTAACAAAGCAGGAAAGTGTGGAGTACAATTATGAATGATTTTTAAGTTTCAGTGAATGTTAGCGGACTAAAATTGCAGCTCTCTCAAAAACCCATACCCAGGAGTCTCCTTTTCTAACGATGCTGCATTATTATCCAACTCATGCTTCATAACATTATCTACAAGAATATTTTAATCATTTTAAGAAAGGATTTGTTGTGTGCTTATTAGTTGCCGCTTTTTGAGGGTCTTGTATTCTAGTTGAGAGACAGAATATGTACAGAACAGCACATGCCAAGTTTCAAATGAACATTATTGATAGTCAGTGCTCGAAGAGCTCAGAGAAGCCATGGATGCATGAGGAACAGTGCTGTAGAGGAGACAGAGTCTTCAGGTGAATAAGGGGACTAGCATTGTACAGTTTGGTGAGCTTCTATCGGATGCCATCTAACTTCTCTGACCCTCCAAGTAAAAAGGTCTGGGTTACTGGCCTTATTCTAGAAATGCAAGGTTGAGTCAATATTAGACAACTGTGTGCAGCTTTCTGTATTCACATATTAGAAAAGATGTTTTTTCCAATAGATGCAGAAAAATGATTCAATTAAATTCAACTCCTAATCATGATAAAAAGTACTTACTCAACCACTAGCAGAAGAAAACTTCCTTAACCTAATAAAGTATATCTGCAGAAAACCTGCAGTTAACATCATAACAGCAAGTCAAAATTAAAACAAACATTTTCTTTAAAACCAGAAACAAGACAAGGATGCCTGCTGTCACAGCTCTGACCAGCGCCGTCTGGGAAATCCTAACCAGCACAAGAGGACAAGGAGAAGTGAAAGGCGTAAACATAGGAAAGAAAAGAAAATCAAAACTCTCATTGTGATATAATTATCTACATAGAAAACTCAAGAATTAACAAAAAATTATAAAAATTAGAAGGTTTAGTCTGTTCATCAAATATAGGATACTGAAGTCAACTACATTTCTTTACATTAATAACACAGAAAAATAAAGTTAAAAAATATTGGTTAGAATAAAAATGAGTTTCCTAGGAATACATGTATAGCAAAACTGATGTCAAACTTTGTGGAGAAAATTTTGAAATTTTATGGAACCCAAAGTAGGTTTAAATAAATGGGAGAGGAGCACTGTTTAGATGAATTGCTATTATAGGCACATTAGTTTTCCTTATTAATTATATATTTAATACAATTCCACTGAAAATTTCAACAAGATGTTTAAAGGAAGAATTTCATAAAGGTAATGCTAAAATTTATATGAAAGAGTAAAGAGCCAAGAATAGCCAGAAAAGAAGCAAGGTGGGTGGATTTACTCTACCAGACTTCAAAACTTATGAAACTATAGCAAATTAAGGCAGTGTGGGTGTAAGACTAGAGATGGACAAATACACTAGTAAAACAGAACAGAGAACCTAGAAACAGGTCCACACGTACACATGGAAACTTAATAAATCACAGAGTTGGCACTGCTGATCAGTGAGCAAAAGAAGACTTTTTTTAAAAAAATTGGGTCTTGGACAATTGGTTATCTAAATAAAAGCACATGAGGGTGGATCCATACCCCCGAAGAGAAACTCCTGTGTGTGTGTGTGTGTGTGTGTGTGTGTGTGTGTGTAAGAGACATGCATTAATTTTTATCATTATTGCTTTTTTTTAACTTCTAATGGCCCCAAACTGGAAACAACCCAAATGTCTTTTAACAGTAGGATGTTTAAATAAACTGTGCTATATTTATACAATGAGGTACTATACAGCAGTGAAATGAATGAACCACAGGTATAATTATCAATGAGTGAATCTCAAAAACATAGTGCTGAATGAAAAAAAAAATGAAAGGTTCAAAACCAGGCAAAACAAAACCGTAGGTCATGTAGGGGTATAACTAATGTGCAGTAGTTATATGGGACTGATGAGGACAAAATCGGGATGGTGGTTTCTTTCTTGGAGAGGGAGGGGTGATACAGAAAGGGAGGGGCCCACGGGGCACAGGGGTCATCAGGGGCGCTGGCGCCTTCTCTCGGGCTTGGTGGCGGCTGCTTGCGTACACCTTCTCTTCATTCCTTTACACTGTATGTGTATATGTTATACACACTCATTTGTTGTATGTTTTCTAACTTAGACATTTCTTTTTTTAAAGCTCTGGGCTAAGTCCCAAACATATTTTCTGCAGCACAGCTCCCCACCTTCTTTAATAATCACTTTATTCTTCCTGTCAAAACTCCCACTCCCAGTCTTAAAATGTTTTTATGCACAGAAGGGAGGAGGGGGGATCTGCCACACAGCTCCACCCTGGTGTGGAATGTTATTCTGCCACCCACTAGTCTTTTCCTGTCTGTGATAGATTTACTTCATTCACCAGTGTACAGATCCTTTACATTTCTGAGCGGCTCACCCATCTCACCATTTCTCTCTGCAATGTCCTGGAAGCTTTTCAGGACTCTTGTCTCACTAAACTGGAGATAAATAGAGTACACATGGGGCCATCTTTGCCCATTTGTGTATGTGAATATATATATGTTTTTAATTGCAAAGATAAAACACACAACCCTGGCTAGGTGGCTCATTTGGTTGGAGCATCATCCTGTACACCAGAAAGGTTGTAGGTTCGATTCCTGGTCAGGGCACATACCTAGGTTGTGGGTTCAGTACCCAGTTGGGGCATCTCCAGGAGGCAACTGATGTTTCTCTTTCGCTTTCTCTCTACCCCATTCCTTCTCTTCCTTTCTCCCTCCCTTCCCCCCTCTCTTTCTCTAAAATGAATAAGCATGTCCTTGGGTGAGG